GCAGCAGCACTCACTGCTGCTGCTGCAATGAATGAGTAAACCCTGCTGATGCAGCAGCAGAAGTAAGGTGTTGCTGAAGGAGCAACGGCTGCAGCTTTAGCAGAATGTTGCTGCAGCAGCAGCAGCAGCTGCTGCTGCTGCTGCATTAAACTTGATACTTAGGGAAGCTGTATTTTAACCTTCCTGTCTCTGTCTTCATCCTCCAGCAGCAGCGCTTCTTCATTTGCTGCTGCCGGCTTCGCCTTCGGCCCACCGAGCGGGATAGGGTGTCTGCGCTGCTGCTGCTGCAGCACATGCGTATCCAGTTTGTTGCTCATATCAAAATTAAAATCCTCGCCTATAAACAGCACTGTCTTCATCTTATTTAGCTGCCTAACTGCTTCGGAATATGCTGCAGCACTTAAATTACTCGCTCCCCCCCTGCTGCTGCTGCTGCTGTTCTTGCTGCTCTTGCTGCTGCTGCTGCTGCTGTTACGTATACCCTGCTGCAGCAAACCATCTACGTATAATATTAAAGAATCATGAGCTGCTGATATCCTGTCCAAATACAGCAGCAAACCCTCCTTCTCCAAGCGCTCCTCCTCTTCTTCATCATCTCCCTCAGCAGCAGCAGGTGCAGCAGCACCTTACCAGACCCCACACTATTAACTGGGGCCCCCCCTGGGAATCTGCTGAGAGCATCAAAAGCCCCGTTGCATGCAACCCGCCAAGCAGACGAATCTCTACGAACTTGTGAAGAAAAGAAGCGTGTTATTGCTTCGTAGTTGCTGCTAACTGCGTCTTCTGTCTCTTCTTCTGTCTCTTCTTCTGTCTCTTCATCTGTCTCTTCATCATCATCCTCCTCGTACTGCTGCTGCTGCTGCTGCTGCTCCCGGGCTTCACGATGGTGTGGGTAGGTAGGGGAGAGCAGCTGCTCTTCTTGCTGCTGCTGCTGCTGCTGCTGAGAGAGCTGCTGCTGCTGCTGCTTCCTGCCGAAGACCCCACTTAAAGCTGCATGCAGCAGCACCTGCATCAGCAGCACAACACCCAATGCTCGCAGCAAAAACTTGACAGTCGGAGCGGCTTTGCTGCTGCGGTGTCGCCGCTGCTTCTTCCCTCTGTCATCAACACCAAGTTCGCTTGTTGCTGTTGCTTCTGCTGCTGCTGCTGCTGCTGCTGCTGCTGCTGCTGCCTCAGTTGTCTTAGTTGTAAGAAAATCTGCATCATCGTCCATCCAGCTATCATGACGATATCGAAAAAAGTAGGGGTCTTCTGAATAACTGCTGCTGCTGCTGCTGCTGTTGCTGCTGCTGCTGCTGCTGCCGCTGCTGCTGCTGCTGCTGCTGCTCTCCTCTCCTAAGAAAAACCAGTCGCCTAGATTTCCTGTCTGCGTAACCGCAGAGTCGCTGAAGACACCCGACTCCATCGCAAGTGCCCAGCCCCAAACCCTAAACCCTAAACCCTAAACCCTAAACCCTAAACCCTATTAGGCCTTAAGCCTTGAGACCGAAACCTTAAACCTTCAACCCAAAGCTTTAAACCATAAATACAGAACAATAAACCCTAAACCCTAAACCCTAAACCCTAATGACTCTCTGCCCTTGAACGCAGAGGCTCGCACGCAAGGCAGGGGAAGCCTGATCAACGAGACGAGGGTTTAGGGTTTAGGGTTTAGGGTTTAGGAAGCAAGAATGAAGAAAGATATAAAAAGAAGAAGACCTTTAAACAGTAAAAAACAAACAAACAAACAACAAAACCCCGCACAATCTTGGACTCTGAAAAGGCTAGGGAGATGGTGAGCGAGAAAGCGAAGGTCTCTAAAAACCCTAAACCCTAAACCCTAAACCCTAAACCCTAAACCCTAAACCCTGTGCGAGATTAATTTAAACTTAATATACAGGTGAAGCACCTTGTAAAGAAAAACCCTCTCAGAAATAAATCTTCTTTGCTCTCCTCGCCCTACGTGCCCAGCCCCAATTCCCCTAAACCCTAAACCCTAAACCCTAAACCCTAAACCCTAAACCCTAAACCCTAAACCCTAGACCTTCGGTATGTTGGTGTGTTGATATTACTATAATAAATTAATACACATTTTATTATAACTAAAAAATAACAGAAGCACTTCATTGCTGTTTATAGCTCAGCAGCAACGCAACTCTATTGATATGAATTCCTGCTGCTGCGGTTGCTGCTGCGGTTGCTGCTGCTGCTGCTGCTGCTGCTGCTGCTGCAGCTGCTGCAGCACCAGCAG